ATATGAGAAAAGCCAACGTAACTCAGAACTGTAGGATCATTTTGGTAGCCTCTTCAGTCAATTGTGGATATATTTTTCTATTACACCAAAAAACGGCATATGTCATGGTAAGCTGCAGTGTAGAATTGGAAAACACCATAAACTTATTGTGTTGGAACTTTAAATCTATCTTGTGCTTTACATAAATTTATTCATGAATGATTTTCTAATGTGTTACTGGAAAACAGGAAAATATAAGTTCACTGAGTTATATAGGTCTTCCAAATGTTGCCGCAGTACCAAAAAAAAAAAAAAAAATCACATTGGTTTTAGTACCACCACTGATTTTCTCAGAAAAGCCTGTGATTTTGAAACACTGATAGAACCAGGCAAAGTGGAGACTCATTTACCTATATTTTGCATTTGTTTTGGTTACCTTGGTGCATACCATGCAAAGAGAGGGCCATCTCTGGTAGATGCAAGCTTTATAAAATTTTTGCTTGGAAGCTCACGTTTTATCATTAGCAACACATACTGCTAGTTTCTTTGAAGTTACAGATTCATTTCATTCATGTTCAAGAAAATGTCTGTCAAATGCCCAATTACTAAGGTTTAGCATTCATTAGATCTTTTAAAAATGGCACCCATGAAACAAGTGACTAGTTAGTTTACAACTGAAATCATCACACAGATGTTTCTTGAGATAGCCTTTGCTTTATTCCCAGCAATAGCACTTTATGTGTACTTTCTATTTCATCACAGAGAATATTAAAAAGAAGTTAAGAGTCCATTAATTTTTAATTTTCATTACTCCATTAAGGATAATCTACAGCAAACCCTTTTTCTCTTCCCTTCCCACCTGTGCTACCCCTCCGGTACTGGGAAGTGAACTATGAATAGCTTCAGTTCGGTGCCACTGTATTCATTCATGCTGAGGTGCCAGTGGTCTCACCACTATCACTTTTCACCATTGGTGCACACATTGACAGTGCAAAAGGCAGATAACATTTCACTATATTTCTAGAAATAATTTGACTTCAAGAAGCCCTCTGGAAAGATCTTGGAGACTACCACACCTTGAGAAGCACTAGTGTATCAGCTATAAATACCATTTCATGTAAGCAGATTTATGCCACTTAGTTATATGTTGCTTCCTTCATATTCTTACAGATAGAATTTATGAAGCGTCAAGTAAAGTTAACAGATGTCAGTCTGCTCTTGCATTGGAAAATATAGCTAATGAATCTTTCAAATTGAACTTTCAAGAAAAAATTTGTGATAATAGATTTATATTTTGTTGTGTTATTTTATTGCTGTTTAAAAATGTAACTCTAGAGTACTTTCACCTTGTGATAAAATCTGCAGTTGGATTACTGAGTATAGTTGTTGTCTTGTGAATTGATAGCTTCTTAATATAATTCTTTTTTAAAATTTTTATTGTTGGTTGTTCAAAACATTACATAGTTCTTGAATCAAAGTGTGAAATGATATATCAAGTGGGTTATGAACCCCCATTTTTACCCCGTATACAGATTGCAGAATCACATCGGTTACACATCCATTGATTTACATATTGCCATACTAGTGTCTGTTGTATTCTGCTGCCTTTCCTATCCTCTACTATCCCCCCTCCCCTCCCTTCCCTTAATATAATTCTTAAAGAGGTTATTTGTGATGACATTAAATTGTGGATGTGTAACTGACGTGATTCTGCAATCTGCATTTGGGGTAAAATTGGGAGTTCATAACCCACTACAATCCAATGTATGAAATATGATATGTCAAGAGCTTTGTAATGTTGTGAACAACCAATAAAAAATAAATTAATTAATTTAAAAAAAAAGAAATAGCAAATTAAAAAAAAAGTTTTCATATTCTTGAACACCCCCTACCCAATTGAGAGGGAATATGCTTGGAGATTTTTCAGTTTATTATTCGTACTCACTAACTGTGTGTGTTCACATTAATGAAAAAATTGCAAATGACTATGTCACTGGATGGAATGAAATAAATTCTTGAATTACTGAAAACGCAAACCACTTCCTGCTCCAGATACTTGCACTTCGGTAGTTGGCCACTAGATGTCATGAGTGGCACAGGAGCATTGAGGGTTAGCCAGGGACAGTAGAAATTTGAACATTGAAAGCTCATAGACCTTTACATAGTTCACTGTTTCCACATGTTCAATGCCAGAAGAACCTGATACAGTGTGATATATAGAAGCAAGGTACAACTGGAATAATGAAATTTCAAAAATAAGCCTTTTAAAAGGAGGGTTGTAATAGTTCTGTTGGGTATTGTAAATGCTTCAGGTGCACTTGATACAGCTGTTATGTTCCTGGCTTTGAGTCTTTCTCTTTTTTATGGAATGATGGATTGAACTTCAATTTAAGAATATTCAGTAATCCCTCTCAGGACATACTGTAACAGCTGGTATTTTTGTATTGTAGTAAATCGATTCCATACAACAGTCAGTAATAATTATGGCTAGGTTCTGACAAATTCCAAAGCATTTTCAATAAATTTAGCCAAAGAAAATAACATTTTTACACAAAAATTTAACTCAATTTGAAAGTTAAATCCGGCAATTGCAACTCTGTTCTACAAAATGTTAAGTATTTTGCTGATTAGGATTCTATCAAACCATTTTAAAAATCTACATGTATGTTCTGAGAAGATAATTACTTGGCAGTATATATACTTAGATGATAATTAAAGTGTAGTAAATACACAGATTTGGAAAAATTAATCCTGAATGTTCATTATGAAAAAAATGAGAGAGATTAAGTTCTTTCACATGGGGCAGTATCTGCTCAAAGAGATGTTTTGGTGTGGATTGTAAGGTTTTCTTTAGTGTTAATGCAATGAAATGTTCCCCACTGTTCACATTTTAATTATTTGATAAAAGCACTTTAGTTTATATGATATATATGGATTATAAAAGCAAAATACTATAAATTTTTTAAGCCATTAAGAAAACTGTAGGTTGTATAGTATTGATTGTATATTATATACTCATTTCTCTACTCACAGTGGCAATCTATACCATACAAATTATGGTTTTTCTCAAGGCATAAAGAGCTTAAATTAGATACATATGCACATATAATAAATGCTTGCCAATGTACATACATACATATTGCTCTAATGATAGAAATGTATGTGCATATGCTTTTCAAATTTTAACTGTTTTAAATTTCTTTTTCCTTTGAGCAAATAAAAGTCCATTAATTGATTGCTTTTTTTAAATTATATGTAGTCTTTTTTGGACTTGCTTTGTGTATGAATTATTTCATTTCTACCCTTGCTTTATATAAGGAATATTTTCATGTAGTTGAATCTTAGTCCTGATTAGAATAATTTATGCAACCAAAGCAAAGTTGCTTTTTAAAATCATTGGGAAAATATCTTCTGAGCTGAGCATTAATGAAACCTTGCTTTGTCTTTTTTCTCTAATTTAAAATTTTTAGTTTAGTGATTTATATTTTCATTTGGTATTTAAAATAACTGCCCTCATATTTTTAATTAGCACTCATCTTTGTATGAATTTGTGTGCATGTTTTAACTACATGAATCTTTGTTATATGAAGCAGATTTCAAGACATCACAGCAGATAGTTTAGTCTAAGAAAGACTATTTGGTCAATTTTTTAATAGTGAGTTTCACTTTGACAATTAAAAAGTTAATTTGGAAGGCTTTAATAGGATTTTTACAGTTGGATTTTTTTCAAGTAAAATTTGGCAAACTCATTTTCTTTATTCTGTAATATGAATCAGCAATTTTAAAAGGTTTTAGGAATTAAAGTGAGCCAGTTTTTCCAGTGTTTACAGTGTCTGTTTTTCCTGTTGTCCTTGTATATGTTAAAATATGCTTTCAAATGACTGACTTTGTTATAGAGATTTGGGGCAAAAGCATTTAAAAACGAACATAAGTGCATTGTGTAGTTAGTTCTGAGTTCTATAAAAGTGTAAATGGAGTGTATTTTCCGTTATTAGGCAGCAGTGATCCAAATTTAAACCACATGGCCTCCTTCTAGGTGTTAGGTCAGTGTAAATTTTAATCTTGCTACTTTCTTTTATGTTTGAATTTTATAATTAGATTACCTGAATTTAAAAAAAGCCCTGGACATATTACATTTATTGTTTATTTACAGTGTGTGAAACACTATGTTGTATGTCTTAGCATATTCAATTATCACCAGTTCTATGAGAACGATAATTCCTTTCTATGAGGACGATAATTCCTCATTTGTAAGGAAATTAAGGCTTATTTGATAAGATTAAAAACTTGTGCAAAATCACAGAGCTAGCAGGATTAGAGATTAAACCAAACTCTATACTGCCTATTTTGGGATAAACTTAGGATAGTTATTGGGAAAAAAAAAGTTGACATTTTCCAAGATACATCAAAGCCTAGTTTTTACTAAAAGAATTTACTTATTAGCTTGGATCATTAAGTTTAGTTTAAATTACTAACACTTTGGAAATCTATAATAATTTCTTGCTTCAATTTTAGTAACAACAACAAAAAAGGCTTTCAAGGTTCTTTGCAAGACCTCAGTTAGAAAACTTTGCAGTCATCATATTAGAATGAGCTTTTTAAAAAATATAATTAGTTATAGATTGCTGACAATTCATATGGTCTTGGTTATGCGTTTAAGAATTATAGCTTGAATTATGATAACAGAGGAAAGGAATTTTATTTAAAATGGCATCGACTTACAGAAGCTTCTTAAAGTTCTCCATCTGTCTCATCAGCGGTCCCCAGACCAAATGTAAAAATCTTTAAGGAAGCCTTGGTACATGCGTGAAGTGCATTCATGTTTTCAATTAGAAATTGCACATCAGAATCAGAAGCTTTCTCACTGAATAACTGCATGTTGTCTGTAGAAGAAATTCTGTTAGAATTCTTGTGATCTCCTTGGTAGTGTGTGGTAATAAGAATTTAGAATTAGTTTTTGAATGTTGCCTTTTAATGATATTCTTTTTTTTTTAATATTTAAACGTTTCTTTTCTTTCTAGAAAGGGCTCACACAACATATAAATCCTGGGCAACAGCGTGGCTGCAGGCGGTTGAACTGGAGCTCCCTGTGGCTTTCTGAGGCGTGAGTGTGTGGAGGGCGTTTCCTCACCCGCAGCCTGCATCATGCCAGCCCTGTCCACAGGATCTGCTAGTGACACAGGTATGCCAAGCCAAGAGGGGCAGATTTCCTTCCACCCCTACTTCAATCTTGTTTGTGGTGAGAGGCAGCATTGCTATAAGAAAGCACCAACAGCTCATGCCTGTTTCTCTGCGACCAACATGAGGGGCATGAAACCAACTTAGACGTGAAAACGCTACTGGAGGCCTCTCTCTGACTGCTTCTCTGTCCAGGTTGTGGTGCCCTGTGGTGGTCTGTGTTGGTGTTCTCCCATTGTCTTGCTTTTGGAGTAGTGCTGTGCATTTGATTTTTAAAAATGAGGTATTTTAAATATACAGAAAATTCTGGCAAATACCATAATTATCTACCTGTATTGCCCTTCACACAGATTTAATAAACTTTGCTGCCTTTGCTTCAGACCTCTCACTTTTACTTTTTCTTAAAAAAAAAAAATCCTCTTTATTCCATTCCTCTATTTTCTTCCAGATGTGATGCCTATTTCTAAATTGATAGATGTCATTGAGGGATTCAATTAAAACTCATAAACACATTTCATCTTATCAGTTCTAAGATTTACAGAGGCATAGAGTGAATATTTCTAAGAAAAAAAATATCCCACATGTGTATGTAAAATTTCCCCTTTCTGATCTAATTTAGGGAATGCAGTGGGGGTGGCAGATGCCCCTTGAAGGTCCTGGTATTCCTCAGATTTGGTGCTTTTGCTCCTGGATGCCTATAAGGATGTGTGTCTGGGAGACGGGGGACATACTCAGGCATAGAGTGTTTGCTTAGCATGTGTGAGACACTGGGTTAGATCCTCAGTATCCTTCCCGCCTCCCAACCAAAAAAAAAAAAAAAAGTACAAATGGCTCTGCTTTGCATTTTGAAGACCCCTTGAAAGAAGTGGTGGCATACTGTGACTAAAAAAATTTCCTCTCTGTCACACTGGCTGTGCTGAATTTGGTCTTACTGGTCCTATTTTCCAACCAGCTGACATAGCTATTTCAGCCTATACTATTCCAATCATTTGCTCTTTATCTTCAGAAACAGCTGAGTTACAAATGTAATTTTGTGTTGTTATTATGTTATACTGGCATTTTTATTTGCACAGTTTGCAGATATCATTCTTTGCTATTTTCTGGGATTTCCATACTTACAGTTTGGAAAGTTTTGTCTCATCTTTATCTATTAAGAATTCTCCCCCCCGCCATGAGATTTACACTAGCTTTTGTCAGGAAGAAATTTTGATTAAGTTATATAAAATATTTCTTTGTCAAGATATTAATTTGGAAAACAGCTCCTTTGGAATTTTTTCCTCTTTTTAGTTATTATATATTCTCACATTTGTGTTCTTCTATATAAAAATGAATGATTTAAACTTTCCGTAGTGGTTTCAGAATTATAGATAAAACTTATTTGAACCATAAATTTACTATAGTTGTGTTTTATGTCCTGCTGTTCATCAAAAAAGTGTTATTTTAACTGAATGCAAAGTGTTTTTGCTTATATATAACTCAAAACATGATTAAAAAGGTGTATTTATGATTTATTAGGCAGTTTAGGTGTCAGTCATGAAAAATGGCACAGACTACTTAGTATTTACAAAGAGCTTTTCCACATCTCACTTAGTGCGTATCTAAAGTACCATCCGATTGACATTCTGTTTTATGGTATTTTTTGATCTATGTCCCAGTAGGGTTGGAATCAGGCACAGAAGGTTAGTGCACTTAAGAGAGCACTTAAGTGTGGTATTCTCATCAGATGTTTGTAGTTCCCTCATAGGTCCTCTTTGTCCAGATGCACTTGGCCATCTGGGGTCATTTTTACCATAAGCCCTGTTGCTTAGCAATATGGTTGATGTTGACCCTCATCAGGTCTCCAGGAGAACAGAGTATAACTGACAGAAGAGCACCCAAGGAACAGCATGCCCCAACCTCTCAGTACTTATTTGGGAAGATGCTTTCGATGTAACACTTTTACCACTCACTCCTCACTCTTTCCCTTCCTGCTTATTTCACTAAGAAGAAAGAATTAATTATACAAGTACAACATGGTAATAACTACTTTTCCTCAGTCTCTTTGTCATTTTGATAGAAGCTTCCAAGAATTTTCTACGCATTAAACACATCGTTTGGATGTGGCTCAGTGGTAGAGCACATGTTAGCATGTAGAAAGCCCTGCATTTGATCCCCATCACCAGCAAAACCACGAACTAACAAAAAATTAATTAGATATGAGTGTACTTAAATACATTGTTTTGAATTTTTTAGTCATGGGTTTTTTTATATGCCATGGCTTGTTATATTATTTTCTGTATCAAGCAGTATGTCTTGGAGAGGTACTTCCATGGTGTATAGTCACTGTAAAAGTGTGTGTGTTTATGTATATTTATCTATGTATCTATTCCTGTACACATCTATATATCTACCTTATTCTTTTGAACTAATCCATAGTTTCTCACAGTGTCACAAAGTAGTGGACCATACTACTATTAATGAAACCCTGGTTCTGCTTCTTTTGTAAATATTTTGGGAGAAAAGATGTGCACATTTAACAATACCATCAAATTGTACCATCAAATCGTCCTCCAGACGAGTTAAACCAGTTAATGATTTATGGATAGTGCATTAAAGTTCCTTTCTCCCACATTCTTGCTAATATTCAGCCTCTATAATTTTTACTACCTAATGGTAAAAACAGTATTTTAAGTGTTAAAGGTACATTACTACTGACATTGAGGATTTTAATAAATGAAAATACCTGTTCATTCCTCTGTGATTTTATGGTTTAGATGTGAGATATCCCCCAAAGGCTCAAGTGTAAAACAATGCAAGAACATTCAGAGGTGAAATGATTTGGTTATGAGAGCCTTAATCCAATCAGTGAATTAATCCCCTGATAGGGATTAACTGAGTGATAAGTGATGGTGGGTAGGATGTGGCTGGAAGACGTGGGTCTTTGGGGGGGGGCATGTCTTTGTTTTTTTTTAATATATATATTTTAAAATATTTTATTAGTTGTTGATGAGCCTTTATTTATTTATATGTGGTGCTGAGAATTGAACTTGGTGCCTCACACATGCTAGGCAAGCACCCTACCACTGAGCCCTAGGTTATATATTTTGTATATGGCAAGCTGTCTCTCTTTTTCCTTCCTGATCATTATGTGAGCCACTTCACTCTGCCACACTCTTCCACCATGATGTTCTGCCTCACCTTATGCTGCAGGGAATGGAATCAGCCTTCTGTGGACTGAGATCTCTGAAACCATGAGCCTCCCAATAAACTTTTCCTCTTCTAAAATTGTTTCGGTCAGGACTTTTTAGTCGCAGCATCAAAAAATCTGACCTAAACAGTGATTTAGATATTCAAATTCTTTCACCATCTTGGTGTTTGCTTATCATTTTCTAATTTATTGGCAGAACTTGTTCACTTTTATTTACATATTCTTTGGTTCTTATAGATGGTACACCATTTCTTCTGGCCAAATGTTTGTCCCTTTTTGCCCCTGAAATAGTATAATTTCTTTCATAGAGTTGGAAATTTTAATGTAGTCAAGTCAGTCTTTAGTTTTTTTTTAAATTCTTTTGCCTAGGTAGGCCTTTCCTGTCCAAAGATCATATACATATTCTTCTAATAATTTGAACCCAGTGCCTCACACATGCTAGGCAAGCACCCTACCACGGAGTCACAGCCACAGCCCTAGGTTATACATTTTGTATATGGCAAGTGGTTTTTATACATTTGGAATTTTAATCCAACTGCATGGAGATAATTATTTAATATAATCTTAATTCTAATTTTATTTTCTCATGGATTGTCAGTAGTCCCAGAATCAGTTATTCAGTATTTTATTCTTTCCACATAAATTTGTAGTAGCTCTTCTATCACATATCAACATCACGTTCGATCTGGGTTCTCTTTCTTGACTATAATGGTCTACTGATTTTATCTTAAGGCATCTTTTCTTTGCTTTGTTAATGCATTATAGTTATAGGTGATAGTGGGGTTCATTGTGATGTATTCATATATGCATATAATATAATGTGCTCCATTTCTTTCCCTGGTATCTTCCTTTTGCCTCTCTTCTTCCTTCCACTTATCCCTGGAGAGTCAAAGAAGAGAATCAAAGAGTGAGCGAGGAGGAATGGAAAGGGGGTGAAAGAGTAGAATTGACTAAATTATAAGCATAATATATGTATGAATATATCATAACGAATCCCACTTTTTATGTACAGTTAATAAGTAAATTTAATAAGTAAATTAATAGAAGGCCAATATCTTACGAAATTTTTAATAAACCAATTTTACAGTAATTTTAGAGTTAGAGAAAATTTACAAAGATAGTATAGATATTTCCGCATCTATATATGAACATCTCTATGTGTAATCAGCTATAGCTATATTAAGCTAATATAAATTCGGACTGAAGACTCCAACTCTGATCTACTAGTAAATGGATCATTCTAGCCTTTTTCTCTTGCTTATCTATAAATTCCTTCTGTAGCAGTTAAAAAACTTGCCCCTCATATTCATCACAAGTCTACTTAATTTTAAGTTCAAGTCCAGTTTACATATCTAGCAATATCAGAGTTGTTAACCCATGGGAAATAGCTTTCATCGGCTAGAGAGTTGATATTATTTTTATTCCTGTAACGGTGCCATACTTTAAAAAAATCTTATGGAATCATTTCTTTCCCACATAACACCCATGTTAGTTTTAGTTTTATAATTTCATTAAATATGATTTGTATAAACATATAATGTGAAATATAATATATGTACAGAAACGTATGTAAAAGTTTTACAAGTGCAGTTTTAAAAGTGTTCATAACATCCATGTGGCTACCACCTAGGTTAAGAAATTGAACACCTTGAAAGCAATTGCTTCTAAGTGGTGACCTCCTTTGAGATGGACAGGGAAAATGGAAAAGATTCCTACTCCACACTATGCATAATGTGCATAGCTTATGATTCCTGGGCAGTATGGTTTAATTTTGCTCATTGTTGAACTTTATAAATGGAATTAAGCTATGTAAATTT